AGAAGGAGTTTCAGAAAGCTTTGATAGCTTCTGCCTCGACCCAACTAACATAAACTCAGTTTTAGTCAAGTTAAGGGTCAGTTTGTTAGCCGATAGCCATATATACACCTTGTTTAAATCGTCGTTAACGCAGTCATTTATGAGTTTTAAATCTGCGCTAGCATAGGTTAGGCTGGTGTCATCGGCATACATTCTAGGTTGTGAAAAATGCAAGCAATTAGGTAGGTCATTAATATACAGTAAAAACATATAGGAGGGCCTTGTGTCGTGATTGGTGGGAGAGGGGCTTCTGTAGTTACTGGCTGACAAGGATCGTGAGTTGTGATTGGCGGAGGAGGGGCCTGGGTTGTAACCGTTGGAGGAGGGGCCTGGGTTGGAGGCTCTGTTACGCCTCCAAGTTCTTTAAAGGCATAGTCTGAGTACCGCTAACCATTTATTACGTTGTTTTGGTCCAAGGAAACGTCCCATAACATGATTCCACCGATCCCCTTGAAGATTCTTTACTGACTGTAAAACAGGATAAGAATATTTAGAAGTATGGGGTTCTACATCGCTTAAAAACTTTAGAAAGTGTATTAACGCATTGTAAAAGACAAGCGCTTAGTTCCCTCCTTGGTTTTTGATGTCCTGTACTGACCTACCTGATACATTGCAGTCAATTCATCAGGGGGCCTGTAATATTGCGCACCACTTGATGCTCTGGTAGCCGCTGGGAGAGCAATAAAAATCAGTGGACCTTTTGGTTTCATTCTTTTTGAGAATGCCAGCCATTGATTCAGAGTATTAATAAACCATTTTCCAGCGCCTGTGTGGCAGTAGTTATTGTAGAACTGTATATAGAGGTGATCCACCAATTGACCGGCATCTTCCAAACCTGAAAATAACGATTTAGAAAGACGAGTTATAAAATACACGACATGAAATTTTAAGGTGCTGGAGGGCTTTTAAGACAAAGTTACTTCTCCGAAAAGGAACCGTTGAAACAGGCGTGATATTGATGTAATTGAACGCGTAGAAGATCTTCATAGTTAAAAAAAATAGCTTGCAAAAATTCAGTTTTGTCGGGATTCGATCCCTGAGATCCTGATCTCTGAGATACCTATCACTGACCTATGAGGCGCTCTAACCAATTGAGCTAGCAAGTCAGTTGTTAGGTGGTCATTAAATTGGTTCGTAATATTCTGGGGAATGATGATGAATTTCATATATGAACTGGGGGATGAAAAACTATATGAAATTCACGATCATATCTTCATCATTTCATAAATATAATTCACAGATATAAACTCTCGGATAAACCGGAATGAAGATGAGAACTACCTTCAAACCGATCTCATGAGGAGTTCTCTAACAACTACAGTGAAATGACTACAGCGGTCACAAAGAGTAAGGGCTGTTGTTTTTCAAATCTTTATAATTGCATTCGGTTATTTTCATCGCCAAAGTAATTGAGTATTTTCATTCTTATACTTTCAAACTACAAAAAGGAACACTGCACGATTACCAGATCCAGGTCTTTCTGGTCCAAGATAATGATCAGGGTATGGGCACTGCGGCGCACCAGTAATCAGATAGTTTCTTTTTGGATCGTTGTCCATAAGTTTTCGTATCTCCTTAATAAATACAGGGTAGTTGTCGCCTCAGTGCCGCCTTCAATATCCATGTCAATACCGTCCATTATTGCGCTTTAATTCAGTAAGGAAAAGGAACCAAATACCGTTATGTGAAAAATCATTAAGAAGGAGAAAATGACACCAACAACGTAGCTGAGGACCTAGTGTGTATTTTTTTTCCGTCAATGGCCAGTTGAAAGAATTTAGGTTTCGCCATGCTGAACTAAGTTTCCAGTTCAAAGGTTTATTGAAAAATTTGTTGTGAATCATACTTTCCAAATGGTCGTATTGTTTCGTTTCCGCTACCCCCAAGAAACAAGCTGTACAGCGTTCTTGCAAACTCTCTGGCCTTATCATGCAGGATCGGGTAGAGTTCCGTCTCCCGTGGCTCCTCCAATGGACACAATAACTTTCTTTCCTCGCCTCTGACATTCCTTTATTCCTTCCTCTATTTTAGCAAATCGAAGTAGAAATAGATACTCTGCCGAAACTGGAGTCTCGCAGTGGTAGGCAAAGTTAAATGCAGGCATTCCTTAAGGACAAAAAAGAACCATCAAGTAGCCATGTATTTGCGGCAAGATGTCCGTTTCGCTTTTGTCGATTATTCGATCTGTAGAGATGCCTGATAGAAAAATAATATCGAATTTCTTTCTGGCTTCCAACTACTTGACGTGGATCAGCCCCAAAGCAAGCTATCTTAAGAAGTTATTAAAGTCAGAAAACGGATGATAAAACGTCTGAAAAAAAAAAAAGATTTCAAAGATTTTTTTTCTCAAACAAATATTTCTGGCCTTTAAAATGAAGAACCCTCTGTCACCGACGATTACCCTTCGTTACGATAGTAATAAAAGTTCAGTTGTTCAGTAAGCTGTCATACATTCGAGATACCTTTGTTCCTTGGATCAAAGAATACTATGACGAAGGATACGGCAAGGATGTCGTACTTCGTTGTCTGACAGACTTCTGACAGCGGTTTCTCCCAGTTTGGCCGGCCTTTTGCGGGCCCAGCTCCGTTTTGGCCCCAGTAACCCACCAATAGCTGGCGGCCGGCAGGGGTTGAGCGTGGTTCTATCAGGCACAGTAAAAATGAGTAAAAAGTACGTGTTTCAAATTTCTTATTTCCTTTTTTCCAAAAAAAAAAAAAAAATGGGCGAAATTTTCAAAGATGGCAGATTTTTCGGGTGGCTCCTGAGACTAGCTGAGAACTTATCAAGTTACGAGAACGTCCAAGATAGTCTCTTATTGTAAAACTAGTCCATGGAAGACATCTTGGTCAAAAATTAATTAAATCTGATTTCATTCGAATTGTGAGTCCTCCCTAAGAAACCTTTCAGGACGTCCTTACCTACCTGGTTGTTAACCAGCTCCGAGACATATGGCCTCAAAGTGGCTGCATAAGTGTTTTTAAGGAACAGTTTGATTTAATCCTCTTTGCCTGGGTCTTTTTTCGTTCTTTGGGAGGGTTCAAAGTGGACCCCATAGACGTCGTTGTCGCAAATCCCCCATTATTGAATCATGAAACTAAGCCAACTATATATACATTACCTCTCAACGACCAAACCTGGCCGCATACATAGAGAAATCCCACAAAGTGGCACAGAGAGACCGAATTCATGTCTACGCGGTTTGAGTAGACTTTCTTATTGCAACCTTACAGGTTTGCCATGTCAAGGCAATCCCCTGGGGTTAAAAACACATTTGCGCCAGTAAAAACCTTAAGACCATTCATTTTTTCAGTTGCTACACCTGTATAAACAATATCTGGAATATTTGGCTTGGTGTCAGCTGTTTTGAGAGTTCATACGACCATATGTTAGAGGAGTGACATCAAACAACATATTTGAATAAATGACTGTGGTGGTGCTGTAAACATGACTTCAAATCTAGGGAAATGGTTCATTGTCTTTTATTATGTAAAAAAAAAAAAGAAGAAGAAGAAAAAAAGCACTAGAAAACATGAGAAGGACGAGTTTCATGCCATTTGAAACAAGCCAGTTGTGTATTGTATACAATATTGCTCAACTCTAACTTCCAGTGTGAGTAATGAGGATCGAAGTCCACTAACTATTACTGAGGATAGAAGTGTACTTCTCATTGTCACGGACAGGGTGTTGCTTCCAATTCTACTTGAGGCAGTAATCAGCAAAGGATCCATATGTATGGAAATAACTAGCGTCAAGTAAACGGTAAACAAGTATTAGGATTGATATTTTTTAGTATTAAATTACTTGTCTGCTTGTTGTCAGCTGTGTTGCCGAATCAAATTGGATGGTGATCCGAATAAGAGCATTCTTTTTTTTTCTTATGACTGAGAACACGAGGAGGGAGTGGTGTGAAAAGGGCTTACCGCTTTCCCTCTTCGCGTCTCGCGTTTTGGACGCTCGCCGCTCTCTAGTGCTCGATCCAATAACCCTCTAAAATGGTGCCATTGAAATTTATAGCGCTCGTAAATTGGTAATTTTGTACCAGCTTTGAATATTGGATACTGATTGCCGGGAAATTTTGTGAAATTTAGGTTTGAATCTCTCAAATAATTCTTGTCCATTCCAGAAGCTGTATGTGACCCCCACTCAGGTTTAATCTGACATCAAGAACTTGGAATTCGGCGTCAAAATACTAGGCTGCTCCTCTTTTTTCAAGACCTCTTCAGTTTCTATTATCGGATAAAAAACTTTTTTCGTTGGTAGAGAACGTAAAAAATAATTTATGGTCCACTAATCTTAAAACTTATCAACTAGGTATTGCTCTTGTTTTCTTCAAATTAAAGCTGATGCTGTCTTTTAAAAAAAAGAGGAGAGAAGATGAGTTCTATGACAAAAGAGTCAATACATTTATGTTTTTACGGCCTTCGTGAAGTATGAGATACGGTCAACAGTTATTATCAGTGAGTACTATCTATAATGAGATAAAAATCGGTTTGAAGAGACCCACAGACTAGTGGTGAGGGGGAAATATGTAACAGCCAACTAAAAAAGACATTGGACACTTGTGTGATAATTCATTTGTTTTTATTCAGTTTGGCAAATCCACTTGTTTCTGTATGCTAGCTATTCGATTTACTGTTTAAGCAAATAGATCATGCACATTGCACATTCGCTGGCCAATCGCAAGCCTTGATTTTTGGGTTGAACAGAAGTCCTGATGGACAGCTGATCTGGGATTCCTGACCTCCATGACACTGTATGAACTTGGAGCAATCAGAGGGATGAGGGTAAAGTCCGTCTACGGAGGATGCACAAGAGAATGAACCTAGGAAATTAAAGAAGATGATATGAGATAGCTCCGGCAGCGTGACCGAGTGCCGGTCAGCGCGTTGGACTAGCAATCCGTAATCAAGCGGTACTGGGTTTCGAGTCCCACCCTGACCACTTAGGAAATTTCCTACTCCAGAAAGCATAAGGGGAATGGGCACAGGCATTTTGGGATCGTCTGGGTGGACAAACGTTAGTTATGATTGGCCGATGGTATTCAAAGTAATCATTAACACAAGCGATCTCCAAAATCGTTGCACCGAAGGCTTGTGCCCATTTGCTTTACAGTTTCTGGAGGGGGGAATTTGTTCTCAGCAATCCCTAGTTCAACTCCTCAACCATGCTAAATACCTAACTGATTGCCTTCTGGCAGTTGGGGTTTTTATCCCAGTTAAGTTCATTTGGACTATATGTCTGTACTGATTTGAAAGGAGTGAGTGTAAGCATGCAGGTGCAGTTAAGTTGACGTCCACCGATTCACATCCGTGGAGATCGATAAGTTCAAGCAAAATCATTGTAGGCAAAGTGAACAGTAAGAAATGGAAAGTGTCCTTTGGGTCCCAGACGTATTTGAAATCTTCGCTTCTGGTTGGCCAGAAAACGTTTTCTGCCCTGTTAAAAATGGAGAATTCAAAACCTTCTGGAATTGGCCTAGCATCGAGAGTAACTGTTCAGGATTTTATTAGCTTCCTGTAGCCATGTAGCCCATAAAACGTTCCTTGTATCCCAGCCTGGCGATTTTGTACCAAGTGACACCCACACACAAAGACCCCATTGTGGTCAAATGATGTCATCGTACAATTCTCTTATAATTATTGCAGTTATGCTATGGAAGTAAATTAGTTAATTGGAATAAGAAGATGAAAAAAAAAAGAAAAAAAAAAGAACTGTAACAAGGTGCTGAGCTCCGCCCAACTGAGCTAAGAGTGCAATGACACTGGGAGAACTTTGCTTGTGAACACTTGTGTCCCCGTGAAGCAATGTTCTGCTTACCAGATGTTGTTGGTGGACGAGGGGCTTGCGTTGTAACTTGCGGAAGGGGAGCTTCAGTGGTGACTGGCGGAGGAGGAGCCTGGGTGGTAACCGATGGAGGAGGGGCCTGAGTTGGAGGTACTGTCACGTCTCCGAGTTCTTTGAAAGCATACTCTGAATACCGCTGACCATTAATGACGTTGTTTTGGTCCCACGACACGTCCCATAACATGATTCCACCGATCCCTCGAAGATTCTTCACAGACTAAAAAGAGGGTAGGGAATAAATGAGGTAAAGGCACTTAAAAGACTCATAAATATTCTGTAGGCATATTATCCAACTGAATTCAGAAAATTTAATCAGGACTTTAATAATGGGAACAATTCATCCAACTGAAAACTTGAGCGCGGTGGGGGAAGGGGCGGGGGTATTGGGGATGGATTTGCTTGAGCCTCTGATGAAATACGGAATGATTGAAAAAATGGAATGCGTATTACTTCAAACAACTTATAAGAAGAATGCTAATAACATTAATTTTAACTTAAATAATAAATTTTTAAAAGAGTAAAAACACAACACGAAATCTATCGAGGTCATAGAAACACATGGGGCAAAAAGGACAAAAATTACGAATTACGAAGTTATTTTAACCGAGGAAGCATAAGAAACAATACATTTCAAGAGAAGACTTCTTACCAAACAAAGAGTAACTTACAGCCACTTTTCAATATTTTTAATGCCCGTTGTGTCGTGTTGCGGATTCATTAGATCTACTCATGGGCTTCTATTTAATTTTAATCAGTCACACCTCCTGAAACAATTTTTTCTTTGCACTGTAATTACAACTGGGGGCGATGCCAGCCCCTCCTTAATTTAATTAAGAAGAACATCGCTTCATTTTAGTAGGTGTTTGTTTGTCTTTGAGACAGATTGACTGTAAATTTAGTAAAAAATGGCTTATACCCATAGGGGATATGAAGTGATAAGTGAAATGTTTAACAACTTTTGATTTATATTGGCTGTTTTGCTCTGATTTTTATTGAATAAAGCACTTTTTAAAATTAACCAATAACATTAACCTATAAAGAACGAACCCTCCAAATCATTTACAACACGTGTTTCCTCAACTCTATATCCTGGCACTAGAATTTTTAGACCAAAATTGCAGTTCAGGTCCCCGTTGTTCAAAGAGCGGATGAATCCTATCCAGCGGATAAACCACTATCCACTCGCGCCATCTTGGTTGTTCGAAACTGAAGGATAGTGCTATCCACTCGGATAGTTGTACGCAAGGCTATCCGTGTTTTGTGCAACTGCTTGTTATCATCCAGTGGATAGCGGATTTATCCACTGAATAGGCCTTTCCACTGGATAAAGTTATCCACTCTTTGAACAACCGGGGCCAGGAATAGAAAGAACTCAAACAACCCTCCTCGTACCTGATACAGGCTACGCAGCTCTCCAGGTGGCCTGTAAAATTGCGCTCCACTTGCTCCTTTGGTGTCCGCAGGGAAACCAATAAATATAAGTGGTCCCCTCGGCTTCATCCGTTCTGCAAAAGCCAGCCATTTGTTCAAAGTGTCCATGAACCATTGTCCAGCGCCAGTGTGACAGTAGTTGTTGTAGAATTGTATATAAAGATGATCCACGTATTGTCCTGCTTCCTCCAAACCTGTAAGTAACGAATAAGGATTACGCGTTTAGAATTTAAGCCTCCAAGAAATTGTACTTTGAAAAGTAAGATTATTTTTTATCATAGTAGAATAGGCAAGTGCGAAAATGCAGGAGAAACGTCATTTTTTGATAAATACCCCAAGAAATCTGAATACAAAACAGAACAAATAAATAGGGAAGAAGGAAGAAATAAACCCTTTCACGTATTTCCGTTAAATTCTTAGCACACTATGTCATATAATTAATCTCTGATGTCAAGCAATCATTTTTAAAGATGAACTAGTTCTTGAACTTTGACAACATCTGATTTTCTAGATGACATCATCATGATCATCATCATCATTGGCAGGCGAAGTCTCGAGAGACATAGCTTGTGCGCCCTTGTCAATCTCTGGTGGTGCTGCAACGTCTGGTGTGGCTGTATATACCATTCCGCGAGTCTCGGTCTTGGAGAAAAACGTGGTGGAGCTGTTTTTGCGGCAATCGCGCTCCTCAGCTTTCTGGTGACCTTTCACGTCGGTTCTTTCGATTACTTCTTTCACTTTCCATCTCCAGCAGGCACGATCACGCAGCATCTGTCCAATTGTTTGGATAAATTTCTCATGCTTTGAGGTCATGTTTGCTTGCTTCCTTGAACCGCAGAGTGGGGCACCCCGACGTTCCTGACCCCTGTCCTCAATTGACCGTATAGAACGTCATTAGTGGAAATGCGTCCATCATCCATGCAATGAATTAACATACCCGATCCATCTCAGGCTGTGCTGACTGACTAGGGAGTACATGCTGGGGACTCCAGCATGTGCCAGTATCTCACTGTCGGTGATGCGTTGACACTTGACACTGAGGATGCATCTGAGGCATTGCAGATGGAAAGAGTTCAAGCGGTGTACCTTGTAATCCAACTTTCTCTGCCGTAGAATAACGTGCTGAGTACGCATGCTTGGAAGATGTGCATTTAGGTGCTTTCATTCTAATATTTCTATTCACAGGCTCTCTTGGTCGATTTGGACATGGTGCCTGTGGCTTTTCCAATTCTACGGGAGATTTCTAAGTGAAGGCTACAGTTCACAGAGACGCTGGAACCGAGGTAGGTGAATTCGTCGACGACCTGGAGAGAATGGTCGCCGATTTTGATTTCAGACGATGGCTGACACCTTGGGCACTCACATTGGTTTCCTTGACACTGATTGTGAGGCCAAAGATTTCATATGCGCTGGCGAATCGTTGATATGTCTGTGCAATGCTGCGGATTGTGGTGTGAAGGTAGCATCATCATCGAAGATCATGTCACGCCAAAGTACAGTTTTGAAGTTGGTCTTGGTACAGAGGCGGCTTACGTTGAAGAGTTTCGGTCCGGATATGGAGGTCACACTGAGGCGTGAAAGGTATAGGACAGAAGGAGAGAGAAGAAGATTCCAAAGAGTGTGTCGTGGCTAAGACTCAGCCCATTCCTTCAAAGGACATGGTACCCGTCATGTTTTCTTGGTAGGAGACGATGATGCCTAGGAGCTTGGGAAACTGGAATATTCCCTTTCTGCTCACGAGGTCAAACGCCTTGATCAGCTAAATAAAGGCTGGATAGAGCGGCTTGCCCTGTTTTCGTGACTTCTCCTGTAACTGGTGCACAGTAAAAATCATGTCCGTGGTGGTAATCTCCGCCCTGAAGCCAAACTGGGACACAGGACAGACGCGGTCCGACCCAGTGCTTGTAGTCTAGTGAGGAACACGCGGGCGATGACTTTGCCGACAATGCTAGCTCATGAGAGAGCTGCCACGATAGTTGTTGGAGTTCGAGCGGTCACCTTTGTTCTTGTAGAACGTGGTTATGGTGGCGCACGCATGTCTTGTGGGACAGCGCCGTCCTTCCAGCAGACAGAGCAGCTCGTGAAGGGGCTCAACGAGGGCACACTTGCCGGACTTGATAACCTCGTTGCTTGGTTGCCAGGAGCTTTCCTGTTTAAGAGAGCGTCTAAGGTCTTGCAAAGCTCTTCAATGGCGAGTTCAGCGTCAAGCTTGTCCACGACCGGGAGGAGTGATTAAGGGCAACGTTGGTAACAACTGCCTTAGGCAGATAGAGTTCAGAGTTGTGTTCCACCAATCTGTCGATTTGTTTCTTGGGGTCTGTAATGGGCTCGCTACATTTTGTTTTTAGGAGGCTAGTTTTCTTTTGTAAAAGCCCTAAATGTGATGGCGTCATCACATAATATGGACCGAAACCGTGTGACCTCGGTCCTCTCGGCCTCCATTTTGGTTTGACACACAACCTGCCTCAAAGCTTAAAGAATAGATTGCTTCAAGCGTACGTATTTCATAGAATACTAAATAGATTGATAGTGATCAACAATAATAAGTCCATTTGATGTGGAAGGAATACAAAAAGGTCTTAAAGCTAATTGATGGAAAAAAATGACAGCAAGCCTTTGTGTAAATGACATCGAAAAGCTTTTTATGAAAAAGTTATCATGGGGCGCTTTCCAAGAAATTCCCGTAATTAAGGTTGGAATGTAAATGAAACACGCTTTTTTTTCTGCCGTTTCACTGGAAAATTTCCTGGAATAAGTGGAAAGTTAGTCCCTCTTTCCCTCTGGAACTTTTCCCCGTGTTTTTATGAAGAATTTTCTTAACGACTCGCCGATTAGGCGATATCTTTGCCGCCATCCTGAATTTCAGATAGACAGAGAGGAACAATTAGAACTTTTGTCAATGAATCTTTCCATCAAGGTTTCCGAAAAACACCCACTATATGCAGCGCTGCTTACCAGTGCCAGGTTTCACCGGTCCCAAGTGGTGGTCTGGGAATGGGCACTGAGGTGCGCCCGTGATCAAATAGCTCTTTGTTTGATCATCATCCATGAGCTTGCGCAATTCAGTTATAAACTCGGGATAGTATTTATAATCTCCACCTTCGATATCCAAATCAATACCATCCATCACAGCACTGGGAATGAAAATAAAAGAAAGTAAAAGTAACCACACAACGATCGACAAGAGTAAAATAAATTTTCCTTTTGAAAGCAAAAATTTTTTTTCTCTGTCAATGGCCGACCCTAGTGAAAATGTTCAGTGTGGGCATGTAAAATCAAGAGGCTTAAACGGTTTGTCGTCCATTCCTAAAATTTGTTTTCCTCGCAAGTTTATTTAATAGTTTAAAGGAAAGTACCTTCCGAATGGGCGAATATCTTTATATAGACTCCCTCCAAGGAAAAGGTTGTACAGCGTTTTGGCAAACTCTCTGGCCTCATCAGGATCGGGTAGAGTTCCGTCTCCCGTGGCTCCTCCAATAGACATAATAACTTTCTTTCCTCGCCTCTGACATTCCTTTATTCCTTCCTCTATTTTAGGGCATCGAAGAAGAAATGGATACTCTACCGAAACTGGAGTCTCGCAGTGGTAGGCAAAGTTAAGTGCAGGCATTCCTTGAGAATGAGAAAACAACCAAATTAAAGTCTTTTATCTTAAGGAGGGGGACATTGGGGTTTACGGTATACGCCACTGATTTCGGTTTCATCTAGCCCTGGGGTATGCGGGTTTTCATCTTTTTGGGTATCGGTACTGGGCAAAAGAAGATCCTTCACGATATTGCGGTACCGTTGATTCGCGCTCTCCTGTCTTTAACAGGTCAGTACAATAAATAAAAGTTTACGGATTCAGAAGTTTTAAAATCTTTAGATCTATTTTCTAATGGTAAATGACAGTTAATCTACAATCGAATTGCTGCTGCGTCTAATTTTCGGGCTTTTCGATGGTTGTACCGATCAATTCGAAGCAATGACCGAGGTTGATTTCTGGTCACACATGTTTATGATAAACAAATACACGAGATGGATACAACTTTAAATGAGCGTGACCGATCATGAATGCAGTATCCGTATTTCGTCGATTTTGGACACGGTATTTCGGTATTTGCCAATTTTTCTTATGGCATTTATTCATTAATAATAATTCATTATTGTGAAAAAACAAACAAAAGCACATAAAACGGCGGCCGTTTTGGTAGTCAATGCAAGAACAAAAGCGTTCCTCTCCTCTGAGAACTAAACTCTATTATTACGTAAATTCTTTCAGAAAAATTCCATTGTATTGATCACCAACTTGGCCACCTTGTCGCGTGGCTGTGAACCAAGAATACCTTTGTTTCTGGCATCAAAGAACACTATGAGAAATGATACAGCCAGGATGTCATACTTTGTAGTCCTACAGACTTCTAACAGCGGTTTCTCGTAGTTGGCTGGACCATTTGCTGGTCCAGCTCCGTTTTGTCCCCAGTAACCCACCAACAGCTGGCGGCCGGCATAAGTCGAGCGTGGCTCTGAAATGAATGATTTTTTTTAAAGTTAAAATAGATAAAAAGGTTTATGATAAGGCAAATCTCACATTACTTTTTTGTTTCGGCAACTACACATCGCCTTCTGCTTATATTGGTTATTTGGAAACTTTTTTTTAAAGAAGCGTTTGATAGGTGTAACCAATAACGAGTAACCGTTTAAGTGACACTGTCTGCCTAGAAAATTTACAAGGAAAGCTTTCTTTTTACTTGTAGTTATATAATGGTCTACTTAAAATTACTTTGAAACAACGACTGACCTCTTAATGACCAAACACCTCCGCATGTGAGAAGAAAAAGCACGAGATTGCTCATCAGTGAATCCATGTCGACACAGAACAGTGTTCTTTACTGTTAAGTTACTGCACTGAACTGTTATTATACTCGGCAGTGATTTTTCGTTTTGCAATATTCGAGGTGTGTTCTTAAGGTTGTTTCTAATGTCAGCTGTCTGTTCAAAAATGTCCCCTTGTTAGTTGATAGCTAGTCAGGACGTCAGCTACCGGACAACTGGAATGGCTAGCTGCGTAAATAACTCTGACCTGATATTGTTTTCTCTTGTCGCTTTGACTTTCCGCGGAAGCTGGCTTTGTGTGTGCTTGCACTTGAATACACCGAAACCAAGTTCAACGGCAGGCAGGCTCTACATTGGCTGTCTTTTGTAGAAAGCGTCAAAGTGTGGGGCAGAAGGTTGACTTCAGTAATTTCAGCTGTCAGTTAAAACAGAGTTGCTTCTCAGTTGACACAAGTCGTCCAATCGCTACTAGACAACCGGATGGCCTGCTGCTTAAATAACAGTGCAAGTAACACCTGATTTTGTGTTTTCTCTAGTCCTTGCTCGGTTGACTTTTCCTGCAAGCTGGCTATGTGTGTACTGATTTGTCTCAATCCACAGACTCTATGTAGATTTAAAAGGAGCTATTTCACGATCAAGGCCCATCAACTGGGATATTGTTGTTCTAGGTCGTTTTGGGTCAATTCTGTGCTGAAGGCATTTGTTTAGTTCTTTTAACCATGAAAAAAACGATCTTTTTTAGAGTTAGATCGAGGACAAAGAAAAAGATGATATCAAACAAATTTTATGAGAGAGCACTGACCATAATTTTTTTGGTGTCTTTTACAAGCATAAGATTACTGAACTTGAAAAATTTGGCCCAACATTTTCAAGTGTTCTGAATCCCGCATCCATTTCCATCCTTGCCACCCGTAACAACAGACGATAGAAAATAGTTTCAGTACCTAAATATGGTCTTAAATAACAAAACTGTACCATTGGTTTTGAATTTGTTTCTTAAATAATAGCAAATAGCTTGACATAGTCCCTTAAAAGACTTCTTATGTGCAAACAAGAGCTAAGAAGGGAGGTTAGCAGGTTGTCAAGCTAAGAAATAGCACTCCTATATCCTCTCTTCTTGATGAAGGATTAAAAACCTTAAAACATTTTGTGAAGCTAAAAAATCGCAAGAATGTGTACGATAGCGATGTATGCAGCTGGAGGGAGAGAGGATGGAGGGAGGGGAGGGGCAAGACGGTACTATCTTTCACTGATCACCGTTAGCTATCGTTCGGGCAAATGCGAGGGAATCAAGTACTGGGATAAAATCAGTGATATGAAATGAAACGCTAGGAAACAGCTAATTGTGAGTATATTGGTCATGGAGATTTACTTGGACATATAACATTTCGATTATTCTACTTGTAGTCTTTCAAGTCTCAATCGCTATCCCCCCTTAGGCCGGTCGACGTACTGGAGAAGAAAAGTGTAACGACTATAGGAAATCTTGGCGTGTATTTTTTTCCCACGTATGTTCGTCGTTCACCTGGACAGGTGAGACAACGTCCAGAAAATGTTCAGATACCACAAATAATTGAGAAAAATAATAAAAAAAAACTTTATACAAAAAATCTGTATACAGTGAACATTTGTTTCAACATGTGAGTGTTGAAATAATTTTCTACATGGAAATCACAAGGACTCCAAACCTTTTTAAAATAAATACAGTGTACTAACCCTTTAGTAGAAGCTAATCCACAAAAAGAGTTCCTTCGTCTACTATTCTGGATCGAATTGGAAGTAGAAAAGAGTGGGTTTAACAGGAGAGGACACTCTCAGATCAGGTAATAGAACCAACAACAAACAGAACCCACATGTGGGGTCAACGCCGCTGGGACTTGAACCACATTGGTGGAGGGGGGAGGCGGGGGGGGGGGAATGGAGAGTTCTCTCACCAGTGCCCCGTCCTTGCACACGAGGCTGTACGAAATTGGGATAGTGTGGAGGTATTGAGGAGACACATGCGCGCCACAACAGTATTTCAACTTCCGTTGCAACTTGTGTTTAATTTCTTACCACCAAACTACTGAAGGTTCATAACTACAAGTACGCACCGATAACTTTGCACGGATATTCAGGGCTCAAAGTTTAAATTTGACTTTGGGAGCACTTGTGCTACCAGATGTAAATTTTTAGGCACACTGCCGAAATTTTAGGCACACAGCTGAAAATTTTAGGAGCACAGCTTACAATGTTGGGAGCATCTATTTCAAACGAAAAAGTAAAAAGGTTAACAGTGCCACGTTTATATGTCATCTTTAGTTTATTACTTTTATTTCAGTCCTGTGACTGATAAAAGAGAGCCGACTTGCTATACAGTAATACTGTTGTGTTTTTTAATACTAATTTCTCTTTTTCACAGTCTGCAAGTGCTTAGTTAGCGTCTCGCGTTAAAAATTATCGCATCCTTTGGCTGAAGATGAAGACGAATTCATTGAGAAAGCTTAACAGTATCTGCAGGCCATCAATTCTTTATCCGTGTCCCATTCTAATCAGTCAAATTAGTTCAGCCAGGTCATCTGAAATCTAGAGCCTTTTTTTCCTTGGTTACTGGCTCATACTCTTTTTCGCGAACTGTTAATGGATTTTTTGAAGCCGATTCACTTTCTGTGTTTAAAGGCGGAGACCCCGGCTGATTATAAGGAATCATCATTATACAAATGAGTATGTCGAACGAGAATGAAACTTAATCTTTAATAAATTTGTTAAATGCGCAATGACTTACATGTAACCGGGATACGACTTAAAAACTTTCTCACTTGGAAGAAAGAAAGGCTCCTAATTGGCACTGTTTGTTTTAACATGCTTGACACCCTTGACCTTAGGACTGAACGTTCGACACGATTGTCCACTGCGCAAGAAGCACGTGTTTCGTTCGTAGCACATTTGCGTCAGTGGCGTTTATTACAAAACAAAAGAGTCTGGGGTGGAGTAAAACTGAACATTCGAGTTCGTGGAATCCATTGGGAGAAAGGTCGAATTAAACATACACAGATGAAAGGAAAACAATGTAACTTTATTATTTAGTGCCTGGTTGTGTTATTGATACATTACTTTTACTTTCATTGCTTGAAGCTACCGTTTGACGTCTTACTAGTTCAAGTACGTAAGTATGGTTAGGTAGGAAGCAGGGAAGCAAGTCAGTCGCACTGTGCTTTGGGTTTTATGGCGCACAGGTGCGATTTCACAAGATTTTTTTAGGCGCACAACCAAAAATCCAGTCCCATATGCGACCAGTTAGTCGTTAACTTTGAGTCCTGATATTACATTACTGTATAAAATCAGTTTCGATATGCTACGCAGGGTTATGATGAATCATGATACATGATACAACTGATTACACAAGGTTGTATATAATATGTACAGACGTAAATACTAACGTACAGGTTATTTATCGCCCCATGTAACGTAATTCAGGAGAGTCTTGGATTCTGGATTCCAAGCTGTGGAGTGCGGATTCCAGGTTCCCGGATTGCATAGTCTTTGTCAATAGAACTTGGATTCTGGATTCCAATCGTTAGTGGGATTCCGGATTCCATAAGCCAAATTTTCCCGCATTCCGGATTCCACAAGGAAAATTCTATCGCTTAAGTTTTATGTTTTCTGTACACTCTCACTCAAGTAAGTCATTAGTAATCTCGCTTAAGGAAGCCTATTAATATAAGTTCCCAGCTTCCTTAGGCTTCCATGTCTCATTTAATGAACTTAATATATTTTGATTAACCTTTTTTGTAACGTTTTATTGTTTTGTTATGTGAGTTACAAAAATCAAATAAATAAACAAATAAATAAGTAAAGGGATTGTCTTTAGGTGTAACTTCGAGTCATGCTTGTCTAAATATATACGCCATATTGAATTGCTTGGATTTATGTACATTGTCAGGGCTCCTGAAATTGTATAAGGAGTTTATTCTCCCTTTAAAAATATGGAGTGGCGAATAGTCTACAAGCTTTTGGCCCAAAGATTTCTTTTGGGTCGGGCGAGTTAGATTAATATGTTGGATACCATCAACAAAAATGGCCCCAGAAGCCTTTACACCGACAGCTTGTACCCATTCTCCGAACATCCATTTTTTTAATAAGTGGTGCAGGTGTTCTAGCATTTTCAAAAGAGCCCCTCCAGTGCATACTAAATAAAAATAAAGGTACAAATTGAATTTTTTTTGCGCTAACTACGCAAAGCGAGATTATCGTTGAGAGACTTGCTCGGGGTTAAGAAATATCAATTTGTTTTTCAAGCGACTGAAGCTCTATAGGCGAATTCATTGTGAGGCCATTGTTGATATTTTGGTTTGGTTAGCATAGAACTGGTTTACCTCACGCAAGGCGCAGCGTTTTGGCATATGCAAGTTAAATTAAAAATTTTAACCAGCCGTTAACTTTGTTATCGAAAACTATACAGTTCCAGGGTGCAAAAACTCAGAAAGAGCCACGAGTACTTCGAAAAAATTTGAGATTAAAACAAGATTCTGCAAGGTATGTCGGTATGTGGTATATTTTGTTAAAATGTTTAGAGATAGCCGCGTATTTCACTATGATGTTTTAATTTCCGTAAGGACTATTTCATAGTTTGATCAGATATTGATAATCATATCGTTATGAGGTAAAAATTGTAAATATTTCGATTCACTTTTATTATGCAATCGTCCAGTCGATCCGAACGAAGACTTCCGCTGAGTCGTTTTATATGGTTATTAGACATTACTTTCAAATGCCCCGCAGTAGTAATGACAAAAATATGACACCATGTTAAAAGCGAATTTCTTTTTGAGTTTACATTTTTCCTGCTAAAAAATGCTTTATTAAATAAAATGTTTATCAATCAAAGCACCAGGTTAAAATATTTAGCCCGTGTGTACATGTGTAATCATGTTTCCTTTCAATGGAATATTCACATTCTCGGTTTGTTCAGTCAATGTGCCCACCTCAAAGTTTTCCTGACAGCCTCTCTCAACTCTTCCACTCTCCAGAAGTAAATAAAAGGATTCCAAGATGAATTCATGAAGGCCATGGTACGAGTTATATCAAAAGCAACCTCGACATTTCTGGTGAAACCGCAAGATAAATAGACGAAAAGAACGCATGTAAAAGGCATGTAAGAAATCATGTACAAAAAGGCTACGTATGCCATATTTATCACAGATTTCTTGAATCTTTGCATATCTATAGTCTGACTCTCTGTAAAAGCTTGGTCTTGTATTTTCCGAAAATGCCGAAGAACTTGTTTGAAGATTTTCCAGTAACAGATTAACAACATAAAAAAGCCATTTAATAATCCAAGAATGTTCACATAGAGAAATGGTGTGACAGTAGTTGTGGCGAATCTAGATAGGCTTAATATCGCCATTGTGATTACTAAATACATAATATGAAAGGCGACCTTTTTTGTCGTAACCACGACATGGTATCTAAGGTGAAAATGCAATGCCAGGTACCGGTCACCTACGATAGATGAAACTAACGCACATGATAGTGCCGCTGAAAACCACGCAACCGTTTCAAGAATCACTCTATACACACAAGAGGAGGAGGCATGCCCGGACAGTAAAGCTATCTTGTAAGCCCCATAAAAGGGCTGTGCTATCAGCCCGGTGAGAAAATCTGCAAACGCAAGGCACCATAGAAACAGATGGGATTGTGATCGTAGTTGACTCGATTTCCAGAAAGTCAAGAGGATGATACCATTGCCCCAAACGGCGATGATAGCGCCGACCAAATTTATTACTGTTGTTATAACACTTTCAACGTAAAGAAGTCCTCCTGGTTCGTACTCGTTTAGTGGATCGAGAAAAAAGCAGCTTGGTGAAGACACAACAAAAGAGCTCTCGTTGCTGCTGTTGTTATAGTTTACAAAATACTCTTTGTCAATCATAACTTTATGGGTCGTAGAATGGTGGATTAAAAAGCCTGTAAAGCTGGTGACACTGTCGCGCAGAATAGGGGGAAACTTGTAAGTTATATTATTCTATTTATTTTCAGTTTAACCCGTGGTTGAACTGTAACTATTAAAAGGTGTGCACTGATTGGTTCCTGCGAGGTCTACAAATATAAATCGTTGTTACATTAACATTAGCTGTTCTATATTAAATTTCTCTGAATCATCAGCCAGTAAAAACATTTATTTAGTTGACCTTAATTTCACAGAGTGGCATAAAAACAATTCGCAAATGAATGCGTTTTTTGTGATGACGGAAATAACATGTTTTTAGGCATATTTCGTACAATTTTAAGCGAGATAAATTTTTGTTCTCATTAGCTTTCATTCTGATTGTTCAAAATCCACCTGCCTTTAAACGGAAACCATGAATTTCAACTCAGCTGGGTCAAGTCAGTTTCGTTTGACACTGACATATTGGAATAGCGCGGTAGGAAACTTTAAAAGCATACTTTGCTTGGTTATACTTAACAATTTTGTATTACACGAAATGGTAAAAAATAGGTCATGGTAGAAAGACACAATGATTACAGTAAAAACTAGCGCATAAGAACCTTTACGCTTTTCCAACTTCCCCAAAAAGGTATCTGCGGGAAATGGTGACTGCTTCGGTTCTTGAAAAGGTTCTTAATTATTTTTGTAAATGATAAATGGCCCGCTATCCAAATGAAAATTGATGCGGCCTCTTCCTTCTTAGTAATTATTACTAGTAATAAGTTAAGCCCTGACAGTGTTAAATTTTGCTGGGAATGTGCTTAGTTCCGGTTTGCATTATATACCGAAAATTGGATTCTGCTGTAATATTGACATAACTCATGAGGGCTGCTGAGATCCCTTTTCCATTTAAGCTTAACGCGAATTCTAAATTCAATCTCATATATCGGTTTTTGTTTTAATTTATCGTTAAGTTCATCTTTCCTCTGTAATATTGTTTTGTCCTTGCAATGGTAAAGCTTGGTTGTGGATTATGGCGATATAAAATTATAAGAAAGATCTGGAATATATATATATTTTTTTAAATATACACGATTTCAGGGTGAAAAATCGTGATTTTGCAGCGAGACATAATTTTGTAGTGAAGGGAAAAATTATAATTTCTAATTTCGTCACTTTCTAAAAAACTGATATCCTCGTATCGCTAATATTGTGGTATGAATATAACCCATTTATCTGAATAGGTTTTTACTTTTACTCAAGACACAGTCATGTGTGTCTTGAGACATTGTCTTCATCACACATTATTGAGATCCTGCCAGGTTTTTTGGAACAAAATTAAAAGTGAGTTATTTCTCATTTCATCCTTACGCGCCCAAAGTTAAGGAATATTGACATTTGATTTGGCATACTAAAACTGTTTATTCGATCAGTAATTGCTTTCCGGCAAGCCTAAATTTTTTCAGGCTTTCTTTTCGCAATTGCACTGAAAAGTTGTGTCGTTAACTACGACGATCTTTTTTACATTTATTTCTTCATTCCCCAGTTCAAATACATGAGATTCATACATTCATCAATTCAGCAAGTATTTTATTCGGTTTTATACTTCATCTCTTTACTTTCCTTATACTTGGGAAATTCAAGGCAGTATAATTCCTCACCTGAATTTCATCCCCCGGCAGAAATCCCGCGGAGACAATTCAACTTTTACTTATAAAATCACAGAGTGAGAGCGCTAGATAAAGATTAACGTTTTTCTTGATTAACCGAATATGAAGCTACATATGAATTAAAGTCTCAGCTAGATCTTATAATATGGAGTTGTAAATTACTTAAATTTTAGCGCAACATAATATTGTTGTTGACCATAAGGTTCATATAACGGGCGGATATTTAACTTGTTGAACTCAGTTGATGTTTACGAATATCAATATCAAAATAAGCAAAAATGAGATAACCAAAAAAAGAAAAAAATGAAATAAAATAAAATAAAGTAATAATAGCTGAATAAATACATAAATGCATAAATATATAAATAAAGTTTTTATTTTCGGATTTCTTTGAGATGTGGCGAATACTGGTAAGAAATATATTTCATTCGACCGTATTGGGGCAAGACTAACGGGAAATATTGACTTTATTAGCCGTTTTATGATGCAATGCTTATCTAACCGCGCGTTTAAGGAGTTTCTACTGGTTCCAGAATGAAAGCTACTGGGCTACCAGTAATTGTGCTACCCCTATAGACAGTCACAGTCAAAAGTCAATCCCATAAATGTCAGAGACAGAGAGAGAGTCCATTGCAGACCATTGTACATCGCGAAAATGAATTGAGTCTGATCGACTAATTGAATCATCCGTCGAACTTTAGTCACTTGGGTCGTTAAGTTTGGTACTTGAAAAGTTCGATCTTTGAACTGGGCCTTAGTCTAGTTGCTCTGCATCAAGTGGTTAGCTTTATGTTGGAGCTTCTTTTAATATCAAAATTCTTGATGGTGTCGGTCTTCTGTCATTACTAATTTGTTGAAAAATTCTTTTTATAGAAGTGCGTCGAAAAAGGATACTTTCCTGAAAGGGTTATCACTAAATAAAAGACCGGCTAACTGACGGCTTCACCCTTCAAGATGAGTTAACAGAATTTTTTCAAAGATCAAAGCATTTTCCCTGTGATCATCACTTTGTTCATTCTTATAACTCTTTCTCTTACAAATGATGATTTATACATGGTTTTAGCGGGCAAAACTGATGTTGGTCACTCTTGGAACTTAAAAAATACGAAAACAAAATGAAAATACGAGCAGGTGCAGAAGGAAAACAAGAACAAAACGATGACGAGGAAAAGTATCCATCCCAAGACAAAAATTATGGTCAAAGGGTTATATTAACTCTTTCCTCGTGCATAAAAATTATCGATGACCAGGCAAAAACGCATAAGTGCGTGTACCACAAAACGTGGACAAATGTTTTTATCAGTGAATTGTCATCAGTAATTGTACCATACGAGTGCTTTCACTTTCTAATTAATATTCATGTAAGCTAAAGATGTTCATGTCAAGGAGTTTATTGACTGTTACCCTGCTATACCTACTACGTACATATTCCTACTTTATCAAGTTGAAATATCCCGTAAACCTTTCTAAAGGATGCTTCAAGTCTAATTTGTCATTTGATGGTAGAAATGACACAAAATGATCGTCGTATATAAAATAGGCACCCACTTTTGAATACCGAAGTAAGTAGGGGAGGGCCAATATAATGGAATAATAGGCTTTCAAGGGTATGATTTTCATAAAATTCAGTCTGTGTATAACAATCAGAGGAGTTTTGGTCTAGAATGATAACATTATCATTTCTAAAAAAAAAAAAGCAAAAAAAGAATCGAATGGGGAATTGGAATTTCTGTCTCAAAGGCGGTATGGGATGGGTAGAGAAAATCTGCCGCTTTGAGGATGTGTTCTTATTAACATAACAAAACCAAAAAAAAAATTCCGTGTCAAATTCCTACAAGGCTTTGCCGGAACAATTTTAAGCCGTAGCGCTGCTTTGAGATGTGCTGTTATTCACATATTAAGCTAAGGAAAAAATTTTGTAAATTCGACGAATGCCTTACCTGACAATAGCTATTTTTGCAAGGTCATTGTGAAAAATTGTTAATTTTGTAAATTTTTCATCCTGGCGATAAGGCAATTATTTCAGCCTCATTCTTATGCTTACTGAAAGGCGCACAAAGATAAATTGTGCTTCATGGCCCGCAGATACTTGGCACCCCTTCTATTAAAAGTTGTTCGAAATACCACAAACATTTAATTTTCCCTCCGGTCTGTAACAACCTTCTTTCTAAGCCACTGCGTGATGAAGAGAGAATGAAGACAATTTCATTCTAAAACTGTTTGGTCGCATTATGAGTATAACCAGGAGCCGATTACTTGGAGCCTTCATCTCCCATATCTTACGGAGGCTCCAAGTAATTGGCTCCTGGTATAACCCTTAATTACATAACTCACAAATGTTTTGCCTGGGACCAGGCTCTGCAGTGGGTGAAAAAAGGCGAAAAATAAAAAGTCCAGTTTTGTTTTGCTCTTTCCACCCATTTCCTTTTTTCCCAATACGGACCCTCTTGTATTAGACTATCGAATTTTTGAAGCAATCAAATAAATTCTTTATGATCTCCACCTGATTAGCTCCTGACGATTGTGATTCAAGCCAAAATCGGTTGGGAAAAAAGAGGAAAGAAATAACTAGCCCATTCAGTGCAATTGTCAGAATGGAGTCAGTAGCGTGCAAGTATTTCCTTCCTCGTTTTTTATTCATTATTTGCATTTGGTAACATAGACGTGCAGAGAGGTTAAGTCGCAGACGCGTGTAGTTTGCAGCAGAAGACAAGAACAAATAGAAAATCTAAAGAATGAAGAAGTATTACGAAAAACAACTGAAGTATTCGACTTGTCGTTGTGATGTTTACAATAGCAGAGTTCAAATCATAATAGGTTATGTAAATCAATCATAAATTATAAACTTATAATCTTGCATTCGATTCTTTCTTTTTTGGTTGTACCGTGATAAAGCAATGATAAACCTACGGTAATTTGAAATAATTCTCCAACTTTCAATATTCAATAATTCAGTTTTGATCGTTCAAGCGGCATGCTATATAGTTCGGCTTGGCATCTAGTGAACATCTAAGCGGAAGAGGCAACACCAAAAATTGCGGCTGTGAAGGTTGTAATTAACGCTCCATTAGCCAGAACTAGTGAAAAAATTGAGTCAATGCCAAGGAAGAAATTCCACTTTTGTTATTGATTTTGTCCTTTAATCTAAGTGTTGAATGCACTTAGCTTAGAATTTTTTTTCTTGACAATTCAGTCATAGGCCATTTATATTAAATTTTCTTACGACACGTTTTTATTTTTGTAACCATTTTAACTAAACAACAACGAATAGTACTGAGTTTATTTGCTCACTGTATTCATTAAGTCAAGAGGTATACCTCATCACTTTCTTAACCGCTTCCCGTAACTCTTTTAATTTCCAGAAATAAATAAAAGGATTCCATGATGAATTCATAAATGCCACAGTGCGTGTCACATCATAAGCAACTTCTACACTGCTGGTGAAGCCACAAGACAAGTAAACGCATAGGACGCATGTAAATGGCATGTAAGAAATTATATACAATAAAGCAACGTATGCCATGTTCCTTGAGGATTTTTTCAGTCGCTGTACATCTTTTCTCCTGCTCTCTCTAGAACCGTGATCTTGTATTTGTCGAAAATGTCGACGAACGTGCTTGTAGATTTTCCAGTAACAAATTATTAAGGTAGAAAGTGAAAAGAGTATACCAGCGATGTTCACATAAAAAAATGGAGTGACATCTGTCATGGCGAATCTTGAAAGGGATAGAATCGCCATATTGACCAGAAGAAATGCAATGAGAATGACGACCTTTTTTGTAGTTACCACAACGTGGTACCTCATGTGATAATGTAAAGCAAGGTAACGCTCACTAATGATGGCTGCAACCAGTGCACAAGACAAAGCGGCAGAGAACCAAGCAACCGTCTCTAGAATAACTCTAAAAACGCACGTCATGGTAGAAACCTTCCCAGTTATGTAAGCTATCTTGTATGCGCCATAGAAAGGCTGCACTACTGAACCAGTGACAAAATCTGCAAAAGCCAGGCACCAAAGAAATAGTTGAGATTTTGATCGAAGCTGTTTCGATTTCCAGAATGTTAACAGGATGATTCCATTGCCAAAAGAAGCGATAAAGGTGCCGATAAAGTTTATCACGGTTGTCACTATGCTTTCAATATAGAGAAGTCCTCCAGCTTCATAGTTGTTAAGTGAATCGAGGAAATAGCATCTTTGAGTAGACACGACAAGGGAACTTTCGTTCCTGCTAACGTTATTACTAAGAAAATCCTCGTTGACTATCATCGTTTTATGGATTTACAGTTAATCTTTCCAGAAGGAAGTGGCCTATGCCTTTTATAAGAAGTTAAATGAAACTGTATGCTAGTCAGTTTCGTTCTTTCGTCATATTTTCACCACAAGATACTGTGCAACGTTAAACTATATATAGGGTTTACCGGATTGGTTCGTAAGCGGTTCAAATAACGAAATCAATCATTAAATATATTAGCCGGTAACATTCAGTTTCGATGAATGGTTTATATATATGGATGTTCTGTGCTTTTATTAGATTACTCTTGGTATGAAAATATATTTGACATTGTTGTTGTCTCTTTTGCACCTCTTAAAAAGCCAGTGATCTATATCTTTTCTTTTACAATAATTGCCGAAACGTTTTGATGATACCGAAAGAAAACGCTGTTTTTATCATTGACAAACTCAAGGAAAAGTCACCGCCTTTAAACAGAAACTGAACTTCAAGTCAGTTAGGTCAAGTTCGTCATTAATCCATTAGAATTTACCTTGGCTTATTGACAATTGTTTGATTCAAGGACCGACGCATAAAAACGGTAATTAGCAACAAGATGTTTACAATTAAGATAACCAGAATGGAGCTATTTTGGTTATCGAGAAAGAACACCGATGATATTAATCCTTTTGTTTTTAAACATGACTAGGGCCTTCATGAAATACCCCTACACGGATAGGGCTCGTAACCATAACCATTCCGAGAAAAAAATCATCCATAAGGCTATACTTTGGTTTTGAACTCTGTATCCAGTACCACTTTGTATGCAAGCTTTATCGTGTTCGATAACCGTGACCGTGTCCTATATTGCGTTTCTTGCCGAAAATGGAAACCACGTTAGTCTTGACACAACTTTTAAATGGAGCTCTTTTACCGTGTTAGCTTGTCAGTGCCATAGATTGGAGCTATAACGAAAAGTTAGTTTATTACAATGGCTGGATCTGCGAGCGGACAAGAAGAAGCGGATCCTGCGCTCTGATTGGCTACCAGAGCAGCAAGATGTGGCCTATGTTTGGTTATTTCAGTCCCGGGAGAAAAAGTTCTCTTTTTGGCCATATAATAAATCCTTTATTGACCAAGCCTGTTCGGTCATGATGACTGGACATTGACCTCGTTCTTTTTTCGCGTTTTTATTGCCCTTTACTTAGTCAGGCAGACAATAAAAACGCAAAAAAAGGACTTGGCCAATATCCAGCCATCTTGACGTCACGCTTGGCCAATAACGCATACCGGTCAGGCGCCTTACCCGGCACTCAAGGGAACAATATAATACGGAAAAATATCATTAACTTCGCTACTTGAACCTGTGGTTAATATTACTAGAGCAATTTGACAGCTTATGTGCTCGGCTAGCATACCTGTCCATGGATTTTTTCTATCTTTTAGGTAACTGCTATTTGCATCCAAAAACCTTCGTTTTTTCCTCGCTGCCGTCGAAGGTTTAGGGATGTCAGTATGTGATTGGTGGCAGCAAATCTACTCGATTCTGGTTGTCCTCCTAATAATGTTTAAACGTTTTTTAGTCGAGATCCTTGTTTGTTTTTGTCCTATATTCTCATGGTGAGACTGGTAGAATTCTCACGGCGGTCTCATTTGTTGCTCCAAAAGTTTTTACTGGAATCGATCACTTCCTGCCTTACTGCAAACGAGAAAATGCTTCTAAATGGGCAATAAAAAGACGAGCACAAAGGAAAACGCTGAAATTGGAAAGTCAGTGCAGGGAAAGCCATTTACACACTATAGCATTTTATATTTTACGATTACAAAGCCAATCCAAAACCACACGTACGTCGGCAAATTCGGGTTACACTTCAGGAAGATAATTGCTCCTCAACGAAATACTTCGGTTTCCGTTTTCCCTTTCCAGACTTTTACAGCTTTCATTGTATGAAGTAAGATTTTTTGCGGTCACTTACGTGGATGCTATTTACTTTTACCTAGCATAAGCTATATCAAAACCTGTCAAACAGGACTATTGCCGACCGTAAAACCTAGCTGACAAATACATCTGACTGGATTTGCTAAAGCATTGCTATATAATAGAAATTTCTCTCGTATACCTTTACCGAGTTTTTTAGTAGTTGAGCAGTAGTTTATTATTATTTTATATTTATTTACTTTTTACCGAATATTTATTGAATATGCTGCGGTAGATAGACTATCATGAGTTTCTCAGTGGCTATCAAACGGACGCAAAATTGTTGGTTGTTACATGTTGCGTCCGTTTGCATACCCTGTTGCACGTTGTTCATGCTGTATGTTGTTGGGTGTTGTTGGGAGTTGTTGCGCAAAGCTAGAAACTGATCAGACTTTTGAGCCAACAACTCTCAGCATTTCTTTTGTTCCGTGATCGCCGAAGCGTAGCGCGGCAATGTTGGATCCGTTTGCACGGCTCTTCCAACATTGTTGGGGCCACTGGCACGTGCTAAGATGGCTGTCAAACTCAAAGCCCCGTGCAAACGGACGCAACATTGTTGGCCAACAACTCCCAAAATTGTTGCATGTTACATGTTGCGTCCGTTTGAACACCCTGTTGCATGTTGTTGGATGTTGTTGCGCTTTGTTGCGCAAAGTTTGAAACCGGACAAACTTTTAGCCCCGTGCAAACGGACGCAACATTGTTGGGAGTTGTTGCGCCCGTTTGCACGTAGCCTAAGTTTTTAAGGTCTTTTTGGTTGTATCCTTCCCATGATGCACTGCAGGTCCTAACATCGTGTGGAGCTGTTGCATCCGTTTTCACACCTCTCAGAAAACGCTTCAATTCCCAACATTGTTGGCCCAACAATGTTGGCGGTTGTTGCCGTCTGTACCTAGCTCTATTTTTAATCAACCATTTCTACCTCATAAGCATTAATTTAGAATTTTCTTTAGAATATCATTATGACCTCACGCTTCACGTGACCACATCAGTTCAACGTTAATCAATTCAACGCCATTTAGAATGAATGACCGTCGAAGAAAAATAGTTATATCTTCGCGGGAAGAAGAGATTAAAATTGAGCCAAGCTTTAACATGCTTTAAATGGAACAAGACGTTCACACACATCGTGCCGAATTAAATAAAAATGCGAGTCAAACATTACGGCCAGTTTTATGCGAGAAACAATGATACAATAACAAAAATACTGCATTTAATATCTACTGTGTGGAATACAGTCTCCGCCCCAGTTTTAGTTTTCTCTCTTTTTTCCTGGATTTGACCATAAGTGGTCTCGTTTCTTACGTAACAGCAAAATTAAGGGTACAGAGACACCGATTTTCAGAGTATCATGAGCTTAAACGAGGAAACGATTATGCTAATAAAAGAATGTTCATACTAACTTGGATAGCTTTTGTGCCGACACGAAAAGCTAAGCGGGATAGTGGGAACGGCAACCCGACACAGATTTACTGCAGGAATGATCATAACTTTGAGAAAATTTACCAGAACGTTCCAAAATTTGGTAACCTCGAAAAATTGTTAAGCACTGATTCATAGGAACAAGGCAATTTGGGTCGGGAAAAAAATGACGCGATTTCAATTTGGTGTGGGGCCTCACTCGCAGGTACCTTTCCTATAACTCGGCTTTAAATCATTTTAAACAATAACTGGTAGAAGCAAGGCATGGCATAAACAGAAGTTGTTACTGTCACAAGCATGGTTTGACTGCGTGGGCTAAGGCAGAGGACAGTTTTATGATGCAAAATTGGATTCATTTTCACCGTTCCACCGGTAAGTTGTTAAATACTTCCTGGAAACAAAATGGAAGTTCATGCTACCTTAATCCCAAAAAAGAAAGAAATGTCCCGGATCCGTCTACCTGTGTTGACTTTCCAATGCTAAAGTCATTAACTGTATTAAGAACTTGCAGTCAAACTTTTAAAGCTTTTGATGACATACATGAAGAAATATTATTCTTGATTCAAAATATTTACCCGTTTCTAATAGGTTCAAATCCCACGGATAATTCATCATAACCAGCTATTTGTATTAAATTTGTATTTCCGCAGCTCACATCATCTTAATTCTGCTTCATTCCTTTCACGGTTTAAGGTGAACTCAAAAAATTGGTCTGCTAGCGCTTCCAATGTATGGGTATTCATAGCTCAATTGGTAGAGCACTGCAGCGCTAACGCACAGGCCATGAGTTCGAATCCCGTTTGAAGTCCCGAAATTTTTTTCAGGTTAATTTGCAACTGCTTAAATTGCAATTACCACTGCGTATCACTGCGACGATGATATGTTCATTCAAATATCAACCAGCCATTGTTGACCAAATTTGGAAGAAGTTTGCGACATGTGAAAAATGACGGCAATATGATAAATTGCACGATGACGTCATTTTACTACAACTACTACAGTGTGTTCTTCTGTGTTCTTTCCTTGTGCAAATAAGGGCTGTTGTTAATCCTCAGCGGGATGCCAGATTTAAATAAGAAAACAAAAACGAAATGAATACTGGTAGTTGTAGTCAAATGTCGTCATCGTGAAAATGGCCAGTGCTACAGCATAATTGCCAGAAAACTGGACAGTTGACCGAGAAGCCCTGGAGACGAGGTTGATTTGTTTTGGTAGAACACACGCTGTTCGGTGCGTAAATTACCGCGTGTTTCGATGCTGTTTTGTATATTAAGAACGGTTTTTAAAACTTTGAAATATAGGTATAAACCTGGAAATAAATTTCACTTACTTAAACTTGGGTTTTTTATTACTTTTTCTGTGTAACCAAGAGAGAATGAGTTGGCTCGGGAACGTCGATGACTACGCTTTGCTTGCTGACCGCGAACATGGACTCAGGGGATGCGGGTATTCAATATCCCGTGACAAAACATGGATCTTCCTACCTCCAGATAGTCTACTGATTGCGCGTGAGCTGTGTTTGAAATTATCCAGTTGGATGAGCGTATATAAAAGGTTTGCGGTTACCACTTAAACATAGTCATCGAATTTCCTGAGTGCTCGTCAGATCGTCCAGAACCGAACACTTTCAAAAAATTTTCCCACAAAAAAAAAAAA